GGTTAGCAAGCTATTGTTCTGGTTTTGAAAACTGGCTTTCCATTTCAAAAGAGCAGCAGCCTCACAAACAGAATCTGAAGCGACACCTTTGGCTTTGGGATGAGATGATGGGAAAAGTAGGACCATAATGAATGTCGACATAAATTCAAAAGAACCCATGACTACTTTCGAGTTCAACTCAAGTTTGCCCAGGTTGCTATGTGTACCACAAATAAAGCAAGTATTTATCCCGTATTCCCAGCTGTACAAGGAAGACTTCCGAGGTCTTCTTTTCTGTCCTTTTCTTGTTAATTTGCCATTTTTCTTTTCTCTCTTTCTGAGATTGAAACATTTAAGATGTCTATCTCGACGGCCAAGAAATTTAATGCAATGAAATGTCTTGATGAGATTGAACATTTTTATCTTCTGTCATTGATTTAGAAAATATAAGGATGACTTTTCCTACTAAATCTGCAGAAGAAGGTGATTTGAGCGCCTTCTATTCCATAGAAATGATGTAGCGGTTGCCTGATTCGTAAGAATGACGATCAATCGACAGGCTAAGCTATTTATGGTATAGACCTGTATATTGTGGTGAGGGATTATGCTTAATTATTTGGTTTTATATTTCATGAAATAGAAGTGAGAAATTGCCAATAGATGATTTTTTTTCCCAAATTTTGGTGATGGGTGTCGAATCCAATAAAAATAAAAGGGATAATTTCAAAACCTCCCTTGAGGTTTTTAAAAATTTCATTTAGCTCCCTTAAGGTTTTAAAAATTACACATACATCCCTTGTCATTTAAAATGGCAATACTACCCTTAAATAATATAATGAAATTCCCTTGTTTGGTATGTTTATACTTAGAGTGACCTTTAAAATTATTTTTTCATTCTTTTTCCCTCTTATTATTATTTTTTTATTTTTTGCCAATAAAACTGTAGAACTACCATTATTACCTCTAGTTTCTATTATAATCAAATGTCAAACAAGTGAATTTTTTTTATGAGTTAATTTTATATGCAATCCAATGTTTTTGTTGATCTTTGTTTTCTATGTTTTAGTATTAAAATTAATAATAAATCAAAAGAAATGGCCCAAAATCATAACTAAATTATGATAATCCCACTACTCGAAAAATTCATAAACTCTAAATGAATTATTTCAACATTTTCTTTTCTATCTTATAAATCTAAATTCATAATAAAATACTATCAAAAGTATCCTATCATAATAATAAAATTATTATTATAATTATTTATCAAATAGTAGGTACGGAAATGAAAATTTTGGCACCTTTTTTTTATACTTATACTAGACAATCTTATAATTGTATAGGAACATAAATTAAAACTCATTACACAAGGGCATTTTTGGGTATTCATTTAAAAATTTGACCAAGTCAATATTATTTTAAAGTTTTGTTACTAAAACTATTAAATCAAGGGAGGTAGACATAATTTTCCAAACCTCAGGGGAGATCAGTAAAATTGTCAGAAACCTCAGGAGAGGTTTCTGAAATTATCCCAAAATAAAAATACCTATTCATAAAATGATTACTCTTGTGTGCAGTAATGAGTAGGGTTGGAGATTAATTGATTTATTTCTTTGTGAAAGCAATAATTAAATGGGGTTTTTTGAGAAATTAAATTAAACAATACAATTAAAAGAAAAATACTAATGAAAATCAAATAAAACTGAAATAGTAATGATCTTCTAGTCAAAAGATTAATCTCGGTCTTGATTCAGTCAATTGATCATTGATACAAAGATAAATTTATATATTCATGAATAAATTGGTTATGGCTATTAACAAGCCTAGCAACCAGTTTCTTCTTAATTTCTCGGTAATCAAAATAAATTCTTTGATTACTTCTCTTATTAATAGATAGCGCTAAACAAACTCTTAGGATTTAATGTATCGACAGTATTAAAAATCAGAGAAATCACTAATTCTAATCAACAAACTCGCAAGTTCAGTCTATTTAAATTAGATTATATATTTTCTTGACTAATATCCATATTAGGTCACTCACCACAAATATCAAAACAGTCAAACAATATCAAGTTTTTCGTGCAAATATTTATTATTTGACAATCAACGGTAACAATAAATTTTTTGCTATAATAGGCTACTTTTCATGGTACTTTATTAGGGATATAGATTCTTTTTAAGATAAAGAAGAAAGTGTTATCTTGTTTTTTTTTTTTATAACAAAACATATTTCATTAACGGATTGCTGGAAATCGTCCAACACGATTGATATACATCGTTGCCCTAATAGTAGATAAAATATGCACTAAAATTGTAGATCTACAATTTGACAGATGCAAAAGACTTGAGAAATTAAGAACAAATCTAAAAAGCACCATCAATTTTAAAATTATCTCCTCATACTGCAACCCACTCCATGCATGTTGCAATCGTCAGATCTACTAATCAACAGTTGTAAACTCCAATAAAGATGATGAGATCTGCCGTCATAGACCAAAATCTGAAATAAATTCAGATCTGACAACCAGATCTGAAGTAAATTCAAATTTAAACAACAAAACAAGGAAAAATAACACAAAATCTCACTAGGAACTCCTAAGAGAACAAAAATTCTCACCAGGAACCCTAGGAGAAACAGAGATCTCCCACTAAAAAAATTTAGGGGAGACTTTATTAGGAATATAACAAAAACGAAACCTATGGGAGGGAAATCAAGGAGACCATGGGTGTCTTCCTTCTGAAGAGGAAGGGATTCAGAGAAAAGGAGCAGTAGAGAGAAGTTGGAGAAGAGGAGCCGAAGAGAGAAGTTTTCTCAAACCTTTTCTTCTTGATTTTAAAATCATTTTTTTAAAAAGTTTATGGACTAGTTTTTTGCTTTTCGAAGAAAAATTTATGCACTAGTTTAGTGATGAAACTATCATAGTTTAGTAGTGATTTTGGGCTATTTGTTTTTAGTTGTTGTTGATTTATTCTTGATTTTGATACAAAATATAAGAGCTAAAAAAAAAATTAGATGATGTTAAAAGTTATCAAAAAATATTACTAGTTTAACATTTGATCAGGATAGATGTAGAGACAACATTAATAGTTTTTCTACATTTTTAATAAGATAAAAGAGAAATGAATGAGAAGAAAAAAGAAACAAAATTATAAAATTCATTCTTTGTATAAATATGGTAACAATGGAGTTTTATTAAAATATTAAGTTTAATATGGTCATTTTAAATTACAACAGAGGTAAGTGTAATTGTTGAAACTTTAGAAGTGCTTAGTGAAATTGTCAGAAATCTCAGGAGAGATTTCTAAATTTATGATAGGTTGCATTTTAGTGGGTATTTTGGGCGTTATTGCATAATTAATTGACTGAATATTTTCGTTAATTGGGTGGATTTTACTAATATTCTGTTTTGGGTGCTAATTGCAGGAATGGGTGCCGAAAAGTGCTTAAATTTAACTTTTAGGAGATTCGTCGGACGTGGGGCCCGTTTGAGAAGCTGAAAAAAACCTAATTGTAATAGATTTTATTTTAATATATTTCTAGGGAGTCTTGCTGCAATTTTGGAGAAGTAACAATTTGTAATTTATCTCTGGCGCGGCTTAGGTTAGAGGGGAGTCTTCGTTTTTGTTTTTGAATGAGAGGAGAGAGCCGCAGCCTGAAGTGGAGAAAGGCAACGGACAGAAGCGATCATTGTTGACTTGTGAGAAACCAATTCTTCATGTTTTGACTTGACAACTTGAGAAATCAAGCAATTGAGAAACTTTCACTCTCGTGTATCTTGACTTCAATTGGAAAAAGGAAGAAAGCTTAAAGGAGCCGTCATTGTTGACTTTGCTCTTGGGCTGTCCTACCTTGTGCGAATCGAATTGGAGAACAAAAGCAATCTCTCGTATGTTTCCACTTAACAATCGAGAGCAATACAAATTTGAGCTTTCTCCTCCTGTGGTGGACCGAAGCGGGATAATCGAAGTGCAAACCTTTCTCAGTTTTCCACGCGCGGTTTGTCCTCCATTAATGGAGGGCTAATTCTCTAATTCTAGTCAAGGGACAGCTGATGAATTGGTTCAATTAATGCTGTGAGATCTAAACCGCTTTTAATTATTTCCTCCGTTTATTGGTATTTATATGTTCTTTGCTTTTAACTGTTATAGCTCTTGTGTATGATTGATTAGTGCGCAATAATTAATTATTCATATAGGCTATTTTGCTAAATAGAGGTAATTGAATCCGTAATTGTTCGTTACCTCTATCCCAGTAGCAGCTGGTATAATTGGGTTTATGTCAGGGGAATATATGATCTAGCTTAAATAAACCCTCGTAGCGTGTTTATTGGTTAGGATTGGGCCTTTCTAATTATTAATGCAATCTGGAAATTGAATCCTACGGTCGTACCTAGGGTTGTTTTTGGGTTAGAGAAATAGCTAACGGTCGTACCTTGGCTATCGATAAATTAAGGAAGGGTTGGTTGTTTAGCGCGTGCGAGACAACTAGAACCAATCTATTAGTAAATGTTGGAATTACCTTTGAATCAATGATCAGTGCATGAACCATTTCTGAAGTATACCCTTGGCTAGAGTTTCTCTCATTTATTTCTTTTAATTAATTATTTTCTGCAGTTAATTTGTTTAGTTGGCATTTGATACCAAAACCCCCCATTAATCTTGATTTGAAAAGAAACAAATATCTCTCCAGTCCCTGAGGAGACGACCCTGCTTACCACTATCTACTAGTTAGAGAACTCAGTTAAATAATTGATTCAGGTATATCGGATTAAGCAAACTCTTCGGGAACAGGGTGAATCAAGTAACCCATTGCACACCTAGAGTCCCTGCTCCAGTACTCGAATTGATTACTAGCTGTTGCAGGTGGTAGTTATGATTTATTTATTATTATTGCACAGGTTCGGCACCTGTCAATTTTTGGCGCCGTTGCCGGGGACTGGCGTCTGAATTAGTTGTTTCTTTTTGAATTCAGTTTTTATTTTGTTTTATTTTATTTTTCTTTTTCTTGGTACTTTTGCTAGTTTATGCCCCGTTCTTCTCGCACAGGTGACTTGGTATACGATCCTGAGGTTGAGAAGGCAGCACGTAGGCGAAGGCAAGAGACCAAGAGACAAAAAGAAGGGTACTCATTTTCTGAAAACGAGTCAATAGAAGACGAATTGAGCATGGCCAACACCCAGACATTACGGGAGCTGGCTACCCCAGAACTGACTCATCAGCCCTTGTGCATCACGTTCCCAACTCTGGCTGAGAATACCTCATTCGAGTTGAAATCGGGGTTGATTCAACTCCTACCTTCGTTCCATGGCCTTTCTGGTGAGGAACCCCACAAACATATCAAGGAATTCGAAGTGGTTTGCTCTAGCATGAAACCCCCTGCGGTCACCGAAGAGCAAATACGACTCAGGGCTTTCCCTTTCTCTCTCAAGGATGCAGCGAAGGATTGGCTATACTACCTACCTGCAGGTAGTATCACCACGTGGGCACAGTTGAAAAAGAAATTTCTAGAAAAATTTTTTCCCGCATCCCGGGTTGCGAGTTTGAGAAAGGAAATATGCAGTATCAAGCAGTACTCCGGGGAATCATTGTACGATTATTGGGAAAGGTTCAACAAGTTGTGCAAGGGATGCCCACAGCATCAGATTAGCGAACAACTGTTGATCCAGTACTTCTATGAAGGGCTCCAGTCAACTGACAGGGGTATTATTGACGCTGCGAGTGGAGGAGCCCTGGCGAACAAAACACCGAGGGAAGCATGGGACCTTATTGAAGCCATGGCAGAAAACTCTCAGCAGTTCGGCTTCCGTGAGAACACTCCTACCCGTAGAGTCAATGAAGCAGAGACGTCATCCATCCAGCAGCAACTGTCAGAGTTGACGTCTGCTGTCAGGCAATTGGCCATGAGAGACACACCGCGAGCAAAGGTGTGTGGAATCTGCACTAGCATGGACCACTGCACGGATTTGTGCCCCATTTTGCAAGAGAACGGGGCGGAACAGGTAAATATGGCCGGAGGCGTGCCCGCGCCCCGCAGGCAGTATGACCCGTATTCCAACACATACAACCCCGGTTGGAGAGACCATCCCAACCTCAGTTATGGGAAAAGGCAACAAGGTTCATTCCCGAATCGTCCACCAGGATTCCACCAGCCTTGGCAACCAAAATCTCAACCCTCATCCTCCAATTCAGAGAGTTCCTTGGAGGATCTAGTCAAGAACCTGGCCACGACTACTACTAACCTGGTCACGACTACTACACAACTTCAAGAGGAGATCAGATCATTGGCCGCGAAAACCGAGCAGCTCCAGCAGGGCACCAAAGCTGACAAGAAGGACCAAGATGTTCGAATAAGTCAACTGGCAACTGCCATCAACCGCTTGGAATCTCACGTTTATGGGAAACTGCCATCGCAGCCCCAGGAAAATCCCAAGAATGTAAGCGCCATGACACTGAGGAGTGGGAAGGAGTTGGAAGGGGCTAAAGGGAAAAATTCGAAAAGCAAAAGTGAGGAGGAGATAGAAAAGGAGATTGAAGAGGAAGGGCGCATTCGCGAAGAGCCTAAGGTAACATCTATTCCTTCGATCCCTATTAAATCTAATATAGCTCCTTTTCCTTGCAGGTTGGAAAAGACAAAGAGGGCAGAAAAGGAAAAAGAAATCCTGGATGTGTTCCGCAAAGTTCAAGTAAACATCCCCCTATTGGACGCGATCAAACAGGTACCCAAGTACGCAAAGTTCTTGAAAGACTTGTGCGTTAACAAAAGAAAGCTAAGGGGTGATGAAAGAGTGATGGTAGGAGAGAATGTATCAGCTGTACTTCAAAGGAAACTCCCACCCAAATGCGGAGATCCAGGTATGTTTGCTATCCCCTGTAAGATTGGCCATTCTAGTATCAAAAAGGCCATGATAGATTTAGGGGCTTCTATTAATGTGATGCCTAAGTCAATCTATGATTCCCTAAATTTAGGACCTTTAAAAGAAACGGGGATAATAATTCAATTGGCTGATCGTACATGTGCTTACCCGGATGGGATAGTTGAGGATGTTTTAGTGCAAGTAGATGGATTAATTTTTCCTGCTGATTTTTACGTGCTTTACATGGATGATAGAAGTGCCCCGAATCCATCACCCATTATATTAGGAAGACCATTTTTGAGTACTGCCCAGACTAAAATTGATGTTAGTAAGGGTACTCTCACGATGGAATTTGATGGAGAAATAGTCCACTTTAACATTTTTGATACAATGAAACATCCTGTTAACTCTCATTCTGTGTTTGCTATGTATACCATTAATCCCTCTGTGCAAGAATTTTCTAAGTTTGCTTGTAGGGGTAGATTCAAGGTTGCTACGAACAAGTCCTATAGGATGAAAGCAATTCATGAGGTAAAAATGGAGAGAAAATTTAGGGAAAAAGTTGCACTCAATGGCCATGTGGATCCTGGAGGAGGGCCACCAATTACAAGGAAAATTCAATTACATCCAGACTAAAGAGTGGTGCTATGTCTAGCCAAAGACATTAAAGAAAGGCGCTACTTGGGAGGCAACCCAAGACTATTTGTTTTAGTTTTCATGCATTTTTGAAGTTTTAATTATGTATTAGTGTCAATTGATGGTTTGATGTTTTGTGGCAGGAGATTAGTGGTTAGGCGTGCCCACGCCAGGTGGTCACGCCTGAGGGAAAGGAATTTTCGCTCAGGTTCTGCGAACTCCATAGTAGTTAGACGTGCCCACGCCAGGTGGTCACGTTCCAAGGGAAGAAATTTTCGATCAGGTTCTGCAAACTCCATAGTAGTTAGACGTGCCCACGCCAGGTGGTCACGCCTGACGGAGGAAATTTTCGCTCAGGTTCTGCGGGCTTCAGGGCAGTTGAGCGTGCCCACGCCAGGCCCCAGCCGTCGCTGCCCGCCGCCGCCGCCCATCGCAGACCGCACGCGCAACCCAGACCGTGCGCGCAGACCGCACGCCTCCGCCACGCTCACTCCACCCCAGCGCCCAAGCGCGCTCCCTGCGCGCGACGCAGCCCAGCGATGCCGCCCCTGCGCGCCGCTCCTGCGCGCGATCCAGCCCAGGCGCGCGAGCCCTCTGCGTGCCAGCCTCCTCCGCGCCCACCCTGCTCCAGTCCGCTGCCCAGTCCGCCGCCCGCCTGAAGTCGCACAGTCTACCAGCCAGGCGCGCGCATCTCCAGCAGGTCATTGCGCGCGATCATCAAGACCACCATCGCAGGCCACGCGCGTCCCTCCTCAACCTGTCAAATGAGCTGAAAAATTTTTCTCCGGTGATATCCCTCTTTCATTTTCTGTCTCTAAGTAGCTGAGGCCAGATTACTAGCTTTTATTAGCTAATGCCAGATTTTAATTTCTTAGCTGAGGCCAGATTTTTGATTTGCTAGCTGAGGACAGAAAATTGGTGCTTGTTTGGGTGCTGTGGCATATCTGTGGATTGATTGTTGATTATTTGGTTAACGTTGTGCCCACCCAGTGATATTTGGGGAAAGCTCTTACTCTAGTTGTCTGTTTAATTCGTTTTTGGGGGAATTTTGCTGTGTTTGTCTAATTAAATAGTTTTTGGGTTGAATTTGTGGTATTTTGGGAAAATTTTGCTGCTGACAGGTTTAACTAATTCTTGGGGATGTGTTCATCGGCCGTTTCTGCACTTGTCTGTGATTGGAAGCTGTATTTAGTTGTCATTTGCTTTGTTGGCTGTTTGTTGACCTCTTTGGAATCCCATTTCCTTGCCTCCACCTTGCCCTCTGATTTCCAATGACTAAACCAAAAAAATAAGGGCCAGAGCACATGGACACTCGTATGGATCGGATGGAGCGTCAAATGGGCGGGATGGCCCAGAATATAGCGCAGTATCTCCATCACGTGGGCTTCCGCCCGCCTTTCCCTCCGCAGCCATGATTTGAATTTCTGCCCTCCTCCGTTGTCAGGGAAGTGTCGTTGCCCCAATACCTCTAATTTGGTCTTACTTTGCTTACATTGAGGGCAATGTAAGGTTTAGGTGTGGGGGAGGGTTAACTATGCTTTGGTTGTGCTTTTCGTTGTCTGATTGAGTTTTTCCTTGCCTTAGTAGTTGTCTTTTCTTTGAACGATGATGAATGCGAATTGGGATATAAGCGTACATAGTAAGTTCATGCCATGGGGTGTTCCACTTTCCTTGATACTGAATTGATTGATTAATATGCTGAACTTGACATAAATTTGACCACTTGTGCGATTTTTGGGCCTAATTTTTCGTTTGATTGAGTGGTTAGTGCACATGGTTTGTCATTCTAGAACTTGCTCGGTTATGCATGTCAAGACCACATTTACATGAGTTTAATGCATTAAAATGATAGGGCACCTAGGAATGAGCCATTTTGGACTTTCTTAAAACCGACCCTTGGATTATTTACTACCATTAGGGAGCCAAGTTGAGCCTTAACTCCTACTCTTCGCTTGAGACCCTAGTTCCTAGCCGTAAAACATCTCTTTAGACTTTCTTTTTGTACCTCGTGTGAAGAAGTGCTTTGATTTCATTATACAGACTTTTGGAGTATTATTCGAAGGGCATTACACCCATTTATGCACCGAAAAAAAAAAACAAAAAAAAAACAAAAGAAAAAAGAAGGGATGTGAAAAGAAGACAAAGTGCAGGAAACCAGCAAGTCAAGTTGACCTTTAGGGTGCTGGTTGGGAGTATTGAAAAAAAAGCAAAAGAAAAAAAAAAAGGGGGGAAAGAAAACGAGAGGGGAAGTAGATGAATGAAAAAGGAGAAAAGTCGAAAGCCGTGGCAAATGCCAATGTACTCCACTTATAAGATGGTTGAGATGCCTTGAAGCTTCAAATGTACAAGAATCTGTGTAATGAATTTCTGAGCACTTTCTTTATACTTTTGCACCCTTTCTACTCCTTTTTATCCTACCTTCTCACCCTAGCCCCATTACAACCTTTTGAAGTCCCTTGATTGCTGCATTTAAATTCATAAGTAAGTGGTAGAGATATGATATAAGAGCAAGCTTATGGTAGTGCCATTCTATTGTGTTGATTTGAGAGCCATCTTATATACATTTCATATACACTTTGGAGTGAATGAGTGCACGTTGAACTGCGAGCGTTGCTGATTTAGTATATTCTGATTTCGATAAGGTTATTGGGGAACTTGGAATGCCATTCTTGGTGTGAACTGCTGTGATTTGCTTAGCATCTTGATTTTACTTCTGAGTTAATTATGCTTGAGGGCAAGCATAGTTCAGGTGTGGGGGAGATTGATAGGTTGCATTTTAGTGGGTATTTTGGGCGTTATTGCATAATTAATTGACTGAATATTTTCGTTAATTGGGTGGATTTTACTAATATTCTGTTTTGGGTGCTAATTGCAGGAATGGGTGCCGAAAAGTGCTTAAATTTAACTTTTAGGAGATTCGTCGGACGTGGGGCCCGTTTGAGAAGCTGAAAAAAACCTAATTGTAATAGATTTTATTTTAATATATTTCTAGGGAGTCTTGCTGCAATTTTGGAGAAGTAACAATTTGTAATTTATCTCTGGCGCGGCTTAGGTTAGAGGGGAGTCTTCGTTTTTGTTTTTGAATGAGAGGAGAGAGCCGCAGCCTGAAGTGGAGAAAGGCAACGGACAGAAGCGATCATTGTTGACTTGTGAGAAACCAATTCTTCATGTTTTGACTTGACAACTTGAGAAATCAAGCAATTGAGAAACTTTCACTCTCGTGTATCTTGACTTCAATTGGAAAAAGGAAGAAAGCTTAAAGGAGCCGTCATTGTTGACTTTGCTCTTGGGCTGTCCTACCTTGTGCGAATCGAATTGGAGAACAAAAGCAATCTCTCGTATGTTTCCACTTAACAATCGAGAGCAATACAAATTTGAGCTTTCTCCTCCTGTGGTGGACCGAAGCGGGATAATCGAAGTGCAAACCTTTCTCAGTTTTCCACGCGCGGTTTGTCCTCCATTAATGGAGGGCTAATTCTCTAATTCTAGTCAAGGGACAGCTGATGAATTGGTTCAATTAATGCTGTGAGATCTAAACCGCTTTTAATTATTTCCTCCGTTTATTGGTATTTATATGTTCTTTGCTTTTAACTGTTATAGCTCTTGTGTATGATTGATTAGTGCGCAATAATTAATTATTCATATAGGCTATTTTGCTAAATAGAGGTAATTGAATCCGTAATTGTTCGTTACCTCTATCCCAGTAGCAACTGGTATAATTGGGTTTATGTCAGGGGAATATATGATCTAACTTAAATAAACCCTCGTAGCGTGTTTATTGGTTAGGATTGGGCCTTTCTAATTATTAATGCAATCTGGAAATTGAATCCTACGGTCATACCTAGGGTTGTTTTTGGGTTAGAGAAATAGCTAACGGTCGTACCTTGGCTATCGATAAATTAAGGAAGGGTTGGTTGTTTAGCGCGTGCGAGACAACTAGAACCAATCTATTAGTAAATGTTGGAATTACCTTTGAATCAATGATCAGTGCATGAACCATTTCTGAAGTATACCCTTGGCTAGAGTTTCTCTCATTTATTTCTTTTAATTAATTATTTTCTGCAGTTAATTTGTTTAGTTGGCATTTGATACCAAAACCCCCCATTAATCTTGATTTGAAAAGAAACAAATATCTCTCCAGTCCCTGAGGAGACGACCCTGCTTACCACTATCTACTAGTTAGAGAACTCAGTTAAATAATTAATTCAGGTATATCGGATTAAGCAAACTCTTCGGGAACAGGGTGAATCAAGTAACCCATTGCACACCTAGAGTCCCTGCTCCAGTACTCGGATTGATTATTGACTGATTTAGGTGGTAGTTAGGTTTTATTTATTATTATTGCACAGGTTCGGCACCTGTCAATTTATCCCAAGTTTTTATATACAACTGTATTTAATTCGAAAAGTTACTATGTTAACCATCCCATTATTAAACCATACCCAATAATTGACTAGGTTTAGTAACAATTTATTTGTGCTTGTCTCCAATTTCTTGCCTCACCTACAAGTGGCACGCCAAATAAATAGCAATTATCGTACGTTTTTATGGACTGATGTCAAAGGAGGAATTAAAGTCTTTGTCCAATTTGATGATGCCTCTCTCTCTCTCTCTCTCTGGTTTAGTTTTTCAGGGGCAATTCTAAACCAGAATGAGAAAGGGAAAGCCTTGAAGGTTGAATTAGACAATTAATGTTTACTTGACTAGTGTCGCTACCGGCTGAGTTGAATTTTTGGGATAATACCTTTATTTCTCTACACAGGATTACTTAAATATTTACCGAGGTGGTTATGTCCTATACTTGACTAGATCAGCTTGACCCAATTCGAGCCATTCCTTTTTTTTTTTGGTTGAAGCTTATGTTTCAAAGTTGACGGCTCAAACGACAAACATAACAATCAATGTAATCGCAGAGAAACTCGATTGCTTCGCAAAATGGCTATAAAAGTGTGTTTCTTTACATAATCATCGAGTAGGAAGATTAGAATACAAGCACTAACCTTAACACTCTTGTGTAACAAACATGGGCAGCAACAGCAAGGCGCTGTTCACCATACTTCTCTTTCTCTTCTTAATTTCAACTCAGGCCATCCTACCTTCAACGCCGAGAAAGATCATGGAGACAAGTAAGTGATTCCTCTTCATAGTTCTAAGATTTCATATTTGTGGATTATCGATAATCATGGTTAAAAATAGTAAAAGAAAAAGATTACTGGTTTGCACTCATCATACTGGAGTCTTTGTTTTGTGCTGCATGCTAGCTCTGCCTTGACATATGACTCACGAATGGAAGGATGGATTAGGGCCTCACAAGTTAAAATTTGTCAAAAACAGGATGCACCCACCATAGCATTATCCCCACCCTTTCTATGTCCCTACTTTTGCACAATATTTTTAAACTTCTGATAAAAAAAAAAACTCTGCTGGCCCGTTTCATCCTTCCTTAGGGCACATTTTGTACTGTCCGGCGTCCGCTCTTAGTGCAGACTCATCATTAGTTCATCACTATTATTCTTAGCTTTTTTTCGTCGAAAAAAGAAAAAGAATTGGAGTCACTTTCATATTCTTCTACTTTTCTAAATTGCAGATGGATTTAGGAGTAATGACAAAATATATGCGGCAAAAGAAATAGGGACGGACCGCAGAATCGCCTATGAGACCCCTCTGCCGCCTGCGCCAGGTGCACTTCGGCCGTGATTCGTGACCGTGAAACCAATTCATAGAAGTTGATTAACATCTGCTTCTAAAGCTGATCGACAATGATACCTGAATAAATTAAAGTACTTATGATACGATTGTAATATTACGCGGACAAAACCTTTTATTCCATAAATGTTTGCCACTGAAAGAGATGTATCATTTACTGAATGAAATTAAATAACTATTTCAAGGTATCATTTTGATTATAAATTTCTCATTACGTTGAGACCTCTCTAATTATGTTCAACATGGTCTGATCGAAGTATGAACTAATCAAGAGCTGCAAATGGTTGAAATAATTAGAGCTGCAAAACAGTCGAACTTAATCAATTGGCAAGCTTGCATAGTTGAACACTACTAAAAAAAGTAATTTTTGTGACTCGTAAATAGTAGTCATAAAAGGGTTTGAATAGTCACAAACTTTTTGTGACCACATTGTGACATGTATATGAGAGTCACGGATTTAGTAGTCACAAAATTTAGACAAATTAAAGATAAATTGAAAATTTGCTATTGTGTGAGTGCATCTCTTTTTGTGGATTGAAAAGTTGTAGAGGAGAAGGAAGATAGATTAAGAGTGGTTGTCCTCTCAACTGATAAGATAAATGCTTGAAATGTACAAGGTCCTGGAATATACGAGATCAAATAAGGAGTGTGGACACGAGATAATTTTCAAAATTTAGACAAACTCAAGAACGTATTTTATGGATGTAACTTTTGAGAAGGAAGACAGATTAAGAAGGGCCATATCTGTGAAATTGAGTTCCATGGGTCCATAAATTGGAAATTTGCTACTCCATAAACGAATCTATTTGTTGATTGAAAGGTTGTATAGAAGAAGAAAGATGGATCAAGAATGGTCGTGTTTGTTCTCACAATTGATAAAACACATGCTTGGAACGTAAGGGTTCAAATATAGAGTGTGGACGTGAGAAAATTTTTAAAACTTAGATAAATTAAAGAACGTATTTTGTGAATGTAACTTTTCAGTAGAAATGATGAATTAAGAAGAGTTGTTCCACAAGTTGAAAATTTGCTATTCTGTAAGGGAATCTCTTTATGGATTGAAAGGTTGTATAAAAGAAGGAAGAAGGATTAAGCAGTATCATATTTATCCTCTTAATTGATAAGACACGTTCGAAATGTACAAGTCAAATATGGAGTGGAGACACGAGGAAATTTTCCCAAACTTAGACAAAGTAAAGAACGTATTTTATGGATGCAACTTTTGGGAAGGAAGATGGATTAAAAAGGATCGTATTTGTGATATTGAGTTTCATTGGTCTACGGATTGAAAATTTGCTACTTAATTTGTGAGTGAATCTCTTCATGGATTGAAATGTCCTGCAGGAAAAGGAAGATGGATTATTCTTTCAATTGATAAGACGCATGTTTAGAACGCACGAAGTCAATATATGAAGTGTGGACGAAATTTTCAAAACTTAGACAATTTAAGAACGTATATTATGAATGAAAGTTTTGAAAAACATTTGCATTCAGGGTCTATTTGATTCAATGTAAAATATTTTCAACGGAAAATGTCTTCCATGAAAAATTTTATCGAGAAAAATAATTACCTTCTCCATGTTTTTTCCGGTGTTTGGGAGGAGATGGAGACTATAAATCTTTAGTGGGTTATTGCACAAGTGGTGGGTTTTGTTCTGAATCTTAAGGCTGATGGGGGAGCATGAATGGATAGTCTTACGACATACGAGACAAACATGGAAAATAACTTCGGTTCATTTATATGGGAAGTCATTTTACACCATCTGATGTAATATATTTTCAGTAGGAAAAAGTTTTTCCAAAGCAATAAACCAACCAAACAATAGAAAATCAGGAAAACATTTTCTGGAAAATATTTTCCTTCCAAACAAACAGACCCTCAGTGGATGTATTTTTCACCTTTTGAGAAGAAGTTTTAAAAAACCATCATCATTTGGGAATATTTTATAAACTCTGAGAAATTACTAGTGTGGACACCATACCACTAAGAGGGGTAAGAGGGAGGGTTAGAAAGAAGGACAGGGAGTGTAAATCCACCTTCACGGTATCAAAAAATTACAATACCAGTGCTTCCAAACAAAAGAACACCAGTTCTTACCCAACAAGAAGTGGCAAGGCAAACAAATACTGATTATCTTATGTTTTCATCCGTTAATATCCTTGTCCATCTCTCAACCTCCTTAACAAAAGACACGAGTCTCCAATTCGATGATGCCTTTATTTCTCTGTGCGTGAATCTCGTATAGAATTATTCTAATTATGGGTCTCAAGGTCCTTGGCCAATTAGCGATTGCAATTACTGAGAGTAGTTTACGTTCGAATTCGAGGCTTTTCCAGTTGAGGTACCATCCAATGCTGTCTTATTGAATAAACTGGCACAATTTTGGTGTACACTAATAGATTTTTAGTATAATCGTGAGTTTTGCATCAATTCAATTATAAATTATGTTTATATCAAAATTTTATTAGTTTACACAATTGGAGAGAATTGGAACTAGAAAGGCTCCATATCTTTCGCGTCCCATATTAGATGTCAGCATGACCCAATTCGAGCCACTCAATTTAATTGAAGTTTCAAGTTGACCCCTCTAATAGGACCATGTTAGCTCAGCCCATTTGGACTGCTAACCTAAGACGGCAATTGTCAATGTAATTGTTGAGAAACTTGGTCCGGTCGTCAACGACCATAAAAGTATGATTCATTACATGCAACTATCACTAGTCAAACACGAGTTAAGTTTAGTTGTCAAGGATAGATTATTTTCTCATAAAAAGTGATATGTTTGAATTCAATTGCTGATGCGAGAACTATGTTAATGGATAATCTGTAAAAATTCCTATACCAATCCATGGTTCCAAAAGCATATTCTGACTTGCGGTGATAATCGAAATAGTACCTACCCAATTTTTTTCACCCATTTTTTTTTTTACGAAAAAAATCGAGAAAGGATAATAGAATAGAACCAACATTAAGTTCTTATAACCCTTTCTATAAAAAACAATGGCTACCAACAGCAAGGCTCTGATCGCTGTATTTTTCTTTCTCTTCTTGATCTCAACTAATCCATCGCACCTTCAACAACGAGAAAGATCCTTGGAACAAGTCCTTTGTTTATAATTCTAATCAATTGAAGCAGTTTAATGCTAGCTATTTTAGGGCTATCAATATATAGTATTTACGAAGTAAGATACTAATATCTGCATTTATGTAATTGAAATAAATGTTGACCACGAGAAGAAAGATAAATTTTTTTGAAAGGTTTCTACTTGGAATAACAATGTCATAGATAGCTAGTACTTTCCAAATGAAAAATTCACAGATTACTTTCCCAAAGTGTCTACTTGTTCATCCATTCACTGTTTTTATATTTTTTCGTAACAATTCACCCACTGAATTACTAGCTATGAATAGATTATTTTTCCAATAAATACAAACTCAGCACATTTCAAGACTTCTACACTGGCAGTAGCCCATTGTACTGCACCTCTATATAAATACATAGCCAGTAGCCACAACCCCTTTTTTTTTTTGGCAGAATCTTGTGCCTTTAAATACTCTGCCATATTCATCATCATGTCATCTTGTGTTGTTGCTCGATAGCGCTATGTAAGAAAACAAAAAATTGTGAGACACAGCAGCTGACAGGAGGCAATGTAGGCACCAAACCAAAAAAAACAGTTATCAGATTCTGCATATCTGTTATATCTATTTACTTAACAAAACAAAACAAAAAAGGGGAAAAAAAGAGTTATATGGCCACGATTACTCACAAGATGTTACACAGACGATGCACCAGTTGATAACAACCTGGAAATAACGAGCATCGTTGGCCTAGATTGTGGATCAACCTGTAGACATGCTCTTGCTAGTTTAAGAACGAATGCCAGAATGTTTTCAATTTCTTCATTGGGATACAGAAGTCTTTGATCGAGCAAGTAGCAATCAAGTCACCGGGATGCTTTCCTTTCATCACTTCCATTGTCAGGACCCCAAAGCTATAAACGTCACACTTTTCAGTTACTTTCATTGTGTAGGCATATTCTGCAAGGAATTTTGGAAAATAATGTTGTGATAACATGTGATCATACTTGAATTTAGTAGCTAGCAAATTGATGAAAGAAAAAACCTTTATTACCTGGTGCAACATATCCATATGTGCCAGCAAGAGAACTCCAACTAGATGAATCATTTTTCAGAAACTTAGAAGTGCCAAAATCTGAAATGTGAGCCTCATATTCTGGATCAAGCAAAATGTTGTTGCTTGATATGTCCCGATGTACAATGGCTGGTGAACAATCATGATGCATGTAAGATAAAGCATAAGCAATGCCTTTGATGATTTTTAATCTCTTTCGCCAGTCTAGTTCCTTAGCTTCTTCTTCTATGCTAAAGATTTTGGCCAAGCTCCCTCTTTCAAGGTACTCATATACCAAAAATGAATGTTGAGAATTTGAGCAGAACCCAAAGAGTTTCACAATGTTTCGATGCTTGATTTCTGTCAAGGCCCTTATCTCATTCAACAAATTTTTATGACTTGCCATCTCAGGCATGTTGTGAAGTCTCTTTACAGCTACTACATCGCCTGATGGAAGCTGTGCTTTGTAAACACTTCCATAACCTCCTTTACCAATGCACAATATGTCACTGAACTCTTCTGTAGCCATTACTATTTCCTTATACAATGCTTTGCCATCAAAAGTACATATGGAAAATAAATTTACTTTGTTCATGTCGATATCTTCCGTTCCTGAACTTTTTCTCCATTGCTTATGCAATCTGAGACCACCAAAGAATGCACAAAGAAGTACGAATGATCCCCGAAGAGGACTTAAAATTGCGAGAACAAGTTTTTTCTTCCCCTTATTCTTGACATGCTTTTTAATCAACGGGGAACTTTCACAAGCCGGTAACCCTGAAATATTCCCGCACAAACCTTTATTTCCTTGTACTTCCTCTATGGTTAAATTCATAAAGGCTCTACCACTCGGAATTGGACCCTCTAAATTATTGAATGAAATATTAATGTGCAATGAACCAGGCAACTTTGCTAAAGACTTTGGGATTAAACCAGAGAGGTTATTGTGTGAGAGATCCAATGTTCCCAGGCTCTGCAAACTTTGAAACTCAGATGGTATCTCTCCTGTGAAGTAATTTCGACTCAAATCCAGTTCAGAAAGTTGGGTTAAC